GTTGTGGGAGGCAGAGGGGAGCACACCGAGGGTCCCGGGGCTGGGGGAGCGATGGGAAGCGGGGCTTCGCCCTGCAAATAACCCGAATTCCCGTGGAACGTCAGTCGGAGCCTCCACCAGCCCGGAGCTTCTCCGACACCACCATCTAGTGGCAAAGCCGAGAGGCTCGGGAAGCCTTCCCACCTCTTCCTCCATCCCTTACACCCAATTTACCACTCCTTCTGCATCCCAGGGATGCATATCCTGCCATTCCTGGGAAGCCACCATCGACTGCAAACCCCTCCAGGTTTTGTAGGTGATGGAGCAGAAACCCCATCACGGGGACCCTCAGACACCCCCAGGGGGATCGGGGTCTGGGAGCAGGTCCTGAGCACTCCAGGAAGATCCCGGGACAGGGAAAAAATGCCAATGGAGAGGCTGGACTTGCCTTCACCAGCCTGACCAGTTAAACTGCGGGAACATCCAAACTGGGAGACACGAGGCTGAGGAGTGAGGCGGAAAAGTGCCAGAAGGTTGAGCACCCAGCAGTTGGTTCTGCCACAGAAAACACACTGGAAGTTTTATAAAAGTTTATAAAATGAAGTTTCACATTTTTTGAGATGAGGTTTCACATTTCTGAAACGAGGTTTCACATTTCTAAAACGAGGTTATTTTGTTAAAGAGATTATTTTGATGACCCTCCCTACCGTCCCTGCATCTCAAAAAAAAAAAATAAATAAAAATAATTAAGGTTTTAAGTTTCTGGTTTTATAGAAGAGACACATCTAGCAATCAGCACGTTCATTAAAATTACTTTATTACTAAAATATTTTTACATTTAGTAAAGATAACCAACCTGCAAACACCATGCTCCTGCTCCTCCCGAAAAAGGAAGCACAGAGGAAGGTTGAAGACAACCAGCTAAAGTAACTATGTTTGTCCTAGTAGCTTGTAAGTTAGGCAGATGTTTTCACATTATCCAGATGTTTTCAACCAGTCTTGTTTGGGCTGCTTTTAGAAACTGGGATCTCTGTATAATTCAACAGCTGCATCAGGAACACAGTTTTAGAAAAAAAACCTATTTATAGAAATTTCTCCCCCCCTGGTTTCCAATAAAACTCTACAGCGGGTCCAGGAACATCTGTTACACTTTGATTTCCCGTTTAAAGCACCGGGACAAGGCCTGGCCTGAGTTTTCTCCACTGTGAAGATACATTTCTCTTCTCACTTACTCAGAAGCGAAGCAGGAGCAAGTCCCCCAGCCCTGTGGGAATTCCAGAGAGTTGGAATTCCAGAGATTTGGGTCCCACGGGAGGCTCTTTGACTTGCACACAGACAGGAGGATGGAGCACCCACGGCTCTCTTCGTATCCTGCTCTCTGAAGCTTTATGAAACCAACAGGTATTTAAAAAAAAAAATAAAAATACACAAGAAACAAACCCAAAATGAAATTAAAAAAACCCTTTTAGCTGATCAGGGACCAGCAGCCAAAACAGGGACTGTCCCCAAACAAGGGGTGAAACCAAAATCATTGTCAGTCAGGCCTTGGTACAGCACGAAATTTGTACATAGCAAAAAATAAGTGTACAGAGGAAATGTCTCCAGCAGAAATACAATCTTTAAACAACCAGAAGAACGCACCAAATCGATTTAAAGTTGCCTGCTGTACTTTTTGTACACGTCCAACCCAGGGAGACATCACAGGGTTGGGGTCTGTCGTGACAAAATCTGCCAGGATGGGAGAGGAACTCACAAAACATGGATTAAAAAAAAAAACAAAAACAAAACAAACAACCCAAAAGTCTGGAAACCGTAACAAAAACACAGAAACAAAAAAAATGAAAATGTACTAAAATTTAATCATTCATAAAAGCTGTAATTTAATCTGTGACAGGAAAACACAAGAAGCAATATTAGAGTTGGTTTAGTATATTATATATTTTTGCTTTTAAAGCCATAGAAATCAGTTATCCCAGGTTTTTTTTTTTCCTATAAAAGACCCATTTTTTCCAAAGCATTATGCACAAACATTTTTAATTAGAATATAATGGCAGAATGAAAATAATGATATTCCGTAACTTTTAAATATAAAATGAAGTCAATGACTCAAAAAGTTATTTGCTGTGGTGAGTTCAAAGGGAGATTTCACATAATATATATCTATAGTTATAGATATAAAATATAACAGTGGAACATTTTTAGTGCTTGATGGGGAGAAATGATGATAAAATGGTCAATATGAAATTTTAATTATAGTAGCAATCTCTAACATTTGAAATGCATCCATGCTCCTTGGGATAATCATACACTAGAGTCAATTATATTTATTTTCACATCTGTTAATTGCTATTGCAAAGGAGGAGGAATATTGGCTTAAATTTCCAAGAGATATACACAGAGCAATTGCCTTTTTTTTTTGTTTGTTTTTTTTTTTCTTTTTTTCCAGGGACTGTGTGTGCAAACCATTTTTTTAAGATCTAAATTCTTCTCGTAGTATATAAAAAAAAAAAACCAAAACAGGAGAAGCTTCTTCCGATATGTCATTAATTTCCATAAGGTTTTTGAAGTCGGGAATGCTGGCACTTTCCATTTTTAGGCAACAGTTCTTCATTCCTGCAATCTGGAGAAAGTAAAAAATAAAATAAAATAAAGTATAATAAAATTAAATTAAAAAAAAAAAGATGGTGGAGGGATATTTTTTATTTTACTGATGAGATGAATGACCCCAAAGGCCTGAAAGTTTCCCGTGCCCAGGCTGGTAAAACACAGAACTTCAGCAGAAGAGCTTGTCTTTCCCAGAATTGGGGTTTGTTCCTGGGTACAGACAGCGAAGAGGCTTTGGAAAGCATAATTCTAAGAAAGATATTCTTGTTTTATCAGGGCCACAAAGCAGTGACAACCAACTGCCAGTCCTGTGTCACTGCTGTGATAACACCAGTGCCCCTGGAGCACCCACCCTGTGAGGCAGAGACAGGCAAAGGGGGCTGGAATTCACCCATGGATGGACAATTTAGGGGGGGAGGGATCTCAGCTTTTGTATTTCTGAGGTGCTCTTAAAGCCTAATGAGTCCAAAGACCCGAGCACTAATCCAGCTGCAAACAACAGGCAGGGAATTGGGAAGAGATTTGGGAAGAGTGAGGGAGACACTGTGGGATTTTGACCATCCAGAGCGGATTTGGGGGCATGGGCAGGAGACAGTGAAGGGGCATCAGTGACTGGGAGGGCTGGGGGTGTTCAGCCTGGAGAAGAGAAGGCTCCAGGAGATCTTAGAGCCCCTTCCAGTGCCCAAAGGGGCTTCTAAAAAGGAGGAAAAGGGACTTTTTATACGGGGACAAGATGAAGAAGAATGGGTTCAAACTGGAAGAGGGGATATTTAGGTTGGATGTGAGGAAGTAGCTCTTCCCTGAGAGGGTGGGGAGGCCCTGGCACAGGGTGCCCAGAGAAGCTGTGGCTGCCCCATCCCTGGAAATGTCCAAGGCCAGGTTGGACAGGGCTTGGAGCAACCTGGGCTGGTGGAAGGTGTCCCTGCCCATGGCAGGGGGTGGAAGGAGGTTTAAGGTCCCTTCCAACCCAAACCATTCTGGGATAACTGACTGAATGCAGGAACTCCTTCAGCAGTTCCCAGTATTCCAGTCCCAAGCTGCTGCTGGGCTGGGCTTTGTGTGCAGGATCCCAGGCAGAGCTGGGCCAGTCCAGCTCTGAGCAGGTCCCATCCTGGGCTGGGGAACCTGACACCACACCAGCTCAATTCAGATGATCACCTGAGCAACAGGAAAAGCCACTTAAGACTCTTCCATTTCTGTTCCTAAAGCCACTGTTCCCCCCAAGCCCTGAGCTGTTGTTTTCTGGAGCCCAGAGCTCAGGTAAGAGCCTCATCCCCCAGGGAAGCCCATCAGCAGCCAGGTTACCTGCACAGCTCCACCTCTGCTGCTCAGTCACACCCAGGCTGCCCAAATGACCACCTACAGCATGGACTTCAGAGGAATTCATCCCTGAAATCCTTCTAAGACCACGGCTTTGTCTTAAATGCTGTAGGAGAAGGGCAGTTGAGCTGCTTTGCCAGCTCACTGTGCCTTCTGATCAACTACAGGACAGAGCACAGAGGTTCTGCTGGGTCACAGAAACCCTCCTGAGGTGACAGCCTGTGCAGCCCATGGTGACACAGACACGTGGCAGAGATGGGCCATTACCCAGCTCCCTGCTCTGCCTCCAAACAGGGATATTTCTGTCCAAAACCTGGAGCTACAGAGCTGCTGTTTCCTTTCAGGAGCACGACAGAACAGCTGTAAGCACACAGAGTTCCCTGCCAAGATACACAGGAAGATTATTTTTAGCTCTGTCCAACCTTGGGGTGTTTTTTTGGGTGTTTTTTTTTTGTGTGTATGTGTGTGTTTGGGTTTTTTGTTGTTTTCCTTTTTTTGGTGGGCAGCTTTTTATTTCTGTGCCACTGAAAGCCACGTCCCACCCAACCCAATTTTAATTGTCCCCAGAGCACCCGGGACTGAGACAGTAACAGAAGTTCCACAGATGCTACCAAATGCCATCAAGAGGATGAAAAGGAAGCAAAACTGAGCCATGGGGGCTCAGAGCTCCCTGTCACAACCCAGAGGGAGAACCTGCAGGAGTCAAAAGGAAGCTCCTGCTCTGTCACACTCATCAACCCAAGCAAAAAGGGAAAGGGAGAGAAGCAGGTCAGGTCAGTCAGCAAAAGTGACTTTTTAATTCCCTATCTTGGAGCAGACAGAAGGAAGAGGAGCAGAGGGAAGGGGAGAGAGTCCTTTCTGTTAGGAGCAGCTCACCAATCACCTGAGCCACAGGTAGAATTCAGACCCCTCTTACCTGGCTCAGAGCTGCTGCATGATGGGAGTCTAAAGCAGCAGACATGATTTCTTTTTAGGCTTCTTCTTTTCCACTGGTGTTTTTCTATTTATTTGTCTGACCAGGTCATAAAAGATCTGAAAATGAAAAACACAAGCTGAAAAACCCAAGTGATAAAACACCAAGTGTCACAACTGAGGCAGGCTGGGGAGCTGCCACTCTTTCCTGGTGGCTGCAGTTGCATAAATTCAATTAAAGTGCTTGAATTTACTAAGCCATGTTTCTCAAGCAGCTGCTTATGGAACAAGAGACACAGAGCTCACACCAGTGTGCAGAACATAAGGGAGCTGTAAACTCAGTTTATCATGACCAAAGGCTTCAGAAGAGGCTGGCAATGAAATGGAAACGACTTCCCTACTTTGGAAAAGTGGGAAAAAAACGGGGAGTAACAAAAGGGTTTTTAAGACTGGCATAATATCCTTAAGGATCATCTTCTCCCTGGCATCCTCGGGCTGGGGAGTGTCTGCAGAGCACTGCTCCACCAGCAGCAGTGTATTCCCACTGCAGGGAAAGGGCAGGCAGCCCTTTTCCTTGGCTTTCTCCCTGCAAACATCTGCCCTGAACTCCGACATTTCCAGAAGGGGACGATTACAGGGCCCTCTTTCAGCTGCAGAGACGAGTTTCTCGTGAAGGCTCTTGCTGTGAGTTGTTTTCCCAGCAATACTCAACCCATTTATAGCGAAATGAGCTTTGCAAAAAAGCTTGGAGCTGGGTCACAGCACTGAGGAGAAATATTTCAACCTTCAGAAGGCTCCACCCTTGTCCTTGTTTACTTTTTTCCCTTCCTGGAGTGGCTGAAAGCTCACAAATTCTTGTTGATTCCAAGGAAATTCAGAAGACAAAGAAACAGTTTATGGCATAATGTAACAACTGGAAATTTTAGGATTTTCCTTTGTAATAAATTGGATTATCTAAGTGCCAGTACTGACTGTGAGTACAGGAGTCTGCAACAAGGTTTCAGAAATGCCACCATCCCTAAAAAAGTCAGTGTGGTTCAGATGGCAAGAACATCTCAGAGGTCACCAGAAGGACACTTGATGTGCTGCTACCAAGACTCACTCTCTGGATTAAAAGCTTTATTATTTGGATGAAAGGTTTGATTCACATTCAGCAAATGCACATAGAAATTTAGCACCCTTCACCCAGATTTTAACAAGGGTTAGAAAGTCCAAAAGTAGCAAGAAAGCAAAAACAAAACCCAAAGTAATGCCAACACTCCCTCAGCCCACAGGCCAGCAGGACAAACAACCAGAGCACCGAGCTGCTTCATTCACAGTGTTTCTCCTCTTTTGATTTCCTCAGCTTTTACACTTTTCACAACCAGACAACATAAACTGGCAGGAACCCAGAAAAATGAAGATCACAATGAAACCAGAAACTAATCTTCCAGACAGTTGTTTTCCTCTCTGTGATCTGATCTCCCTGAAGGCTGCGGGGAAACGGGGAGACCCGGGATTCACCCGTCAGGGATGGGGGGATGTAAAGCTGGGACAGCTCAGGGCTCTGCCCACCACAGAACCCCCTTTCCCACCCTGGGCTGAGGCATCTTTGGCTGATGAGAGGTCAGTGTTACACCACCAGCTGCAGAAACACAAATAACCCAGCTCTGGGGGGTGTTTGAGGGCAGAGCCGCTCGGTCCTTCATTAACAGCCACAGTTTTACTACAGCTCAGCCACACACCCCCAGAAAAACCCCTCCTGGCAGTAGTGTGGCTCAGCCCTGTTTCCTGGGCTGGATCAATGCTCTCCAGCCAGGCTAATCCCAGCCACAGAAGCTGCAATTCCTGCAGCCTGGAGCTCCCTTCCCTCTGAACCGGCTCGATGCAGTGCGGGCATGTCCCTCCGGCTGCCAACCCAGCCCTGGGCTCAGGCCAAGATCCTGCTGCTCCTGCTTATCTCCCAGCCTCCTAAACGCTCCCAGTTATCTGCTGGCACCAAACCAGCCTCGCTGCACGGGGTCACCTTAGCTTTTGTGCCTGCAAACCTGGCCTCTGTCACAGGCAGATAATTCGCGGCGCCGAATAAAAACCTGGGGCCCGGCGTGGAGCAGAGCTCCCTCAGCACAACCCCACAGCCCCAGGAGGCAGGAGAAGGCACTCCAGGGCAAGAGCCAAGCTCATTTAAGCTCAGTTAAAGTTGGGGAGCTGCTTGGATCTGTGTTTGGGCACAGTCTTAGTGAGTTGGTGGCTCAGAGAGATGGGGAGACTCCTCGAGCAGGAATGTGAAATGCAAATACTTCAAAACCAGCCAGCACTACACAACGGGACAAGCAACACAATGGGGCATAAGCCACGTCCAGAATAGCAGCAGTTATCTTGAAGAAATACAGTTTGCAGATAAAGTTTATCTGAGCTGAGAGTCATCCAGCTCACCAGGCTTGTTCAGGACCCTCTGCTATTCCCAGTAAGAAAACTCTTACCTGGAAAGTCACCCACCCTCTACAGACTAAAAGGAGCAGATCTCCTTAAAACAAACAGAAAGTAGCTAAATACACTGCATGGCAAAGCTTTCTCAGGCTGAGAATTCAGAATCACCCTGAATCTTCCCAATTAGGAGAGAGATGTGCTGGTTTGATGTCACATTCGAGTCAGAAAGGTAAGGGAGCAGCTGATAGTTACCTCATTTACGTTGATTTTAGACTTTGCAGATGATTCTAGAAAGGCACAGTTACACCACTGTCTTGCTAAGTTCTGGCCCTGCTCTTTGCCAACGACTCGCTCTTCCTCCAGGTCACATTTATTGCCAACCAGAATCATGGGAACCTGCAGAGGAACAAGGAAGAAAGGAGAGAGACATCAAGCTTGTGTACAGTGTGGGCTGCACAACTGGCTCACAGACTGAGGAAACAAAGCAGGAAAAATACAGCATCAAGTATGAAAAACATTGACAATCAGGAGCTCTGCAGAGCTGATGGACCAGGCTGGAATTCAGGTGCCTGCTGGGAAAGGGTCGAACAAAGTGCACAGCACAGACACCCTGGGGCACTAAATTAAACACATGTAAACCCGAATGATAATGTTTCAGCAGAATTTTAAGCCAGTGAGGTTTTATTTTCTGCGACACCATTCTGGTGCAAAACTTAATTTACTCCTGAAATTCATCTCAGGGCTTCCCTGTGACAGCAGGATGAGCTGCTGCCAGCAGCAGACAACTTCTGTCTGCACAGCACACACAGCACGTGTTTTCAGGCATATATTCTGTGTTTCAGCCCCTTTGACCTGTCTTGTCAAGCCACACAATAATAAATGGAAACACCTTTAAAAATCACTGCCCTGGATGTGGAATAAAAAGGAGTCAAGTATTCCCACAGCCCTGAGCACAAACCCACCTGCCCTTCCCATCCCAATGCAATCTCATCCCACTGACATGTTTTGCACACACACACACAGGATGTTCACTACAAAAGGCACAAACACTGCTTGATATTTATTAGCTTTGAATAATTGAAATGCCCAGCTAGTGACCACCCACCAGCTCAGTTCCTGAAAGCACATCACTTCCCAAAAGTAATCTCACGCAGTATCAAAACAAACACTTGATAGAAGTTCAAAGGACTCATCATGCAAATGCAGGCAAATGATTTGTTCAAGACAATGATGAAATGGCATCTGCCCCTCTCCTTAAGCCACTGGCTTTCTAAAGTGTCTGGGTGAGTCACCTTCTTGCTCCTTCATGAGGAAAAAAGTGCCTTGGGGAAACCATATTCCTGGTGACACATCCTGTAGGAAACCAGACATTTAATACTGTAGGAAAAGGACCTTGGCTGCAGTAAATGCTCATTACCCACCTGTTGGCATCAGGCAGCAGGGAAAGGAATAACAGAACCATAAAATACCCTGAGCTGGAAGGGACACACAAGGATCATCCAGTCCAGCTCCTGGCCCTGCACAGGACACCCCAAAATCCCACCCTGTCCCTGAGAGCATTGTCCAAACACTCCTGGAGCTCTGGCAGCCTTGGGGCCGTGCCCACTGCCCTGGGGAGCCTGGTCAGTGCCCAACCACCCTCTGGGGAAGAACCTTTTCCTGAGATCCAACCTGACCCTGCCCTGGCACAGCCCCAGCCTGACAACTCCTGACACATCTTGCCCAGCACCCCCCTCATAAATGGCACAAGGGGCAACAGAAAAGCTGGGGGCTCTTTTCTGGACTTGCTCTCCTCAGTCATGCTTAGATGTTGAGTTAAAACTCTCTCAGTAGAAAGAAATCAGGCAAAAAGCTCAGTTAAAACCAGCACTAAGACTTCTAGAGAGAGAATGTCCTGATAGATCATTTCAGAAGGCTTTCTCTGTTTTCAGACAGCCTGTCCCACGGCTATCTGAAACATTTCACAAACATATCACAAACAGGTAGAAAAGGAACTGTTCAAGGCCAGGTTGGACAGGGTTTGGAACAACCTGGGCTAGTGGAAGGGGTCCCTGCCCACAGCAGGAGATGGAACTGGATGAGCTTTAACATCCCTCCCAACCCAACCCAGTCTGGGATTCTCTAAGACCTCAAACAAGCAAACGAAAAATGCTCAAAACACCCCAAAATCTCTCGATGACAACTGAACCCACCTCCTCTCAGGTGCCATTTCCACACCCCCACGATGCCAGGCGTGATCCCACTCACTGCCTGTCCCTCCAAGGGGTCCCAGCTCCAGCCCCACCTGAGGGGCAGCCCCCCAGAGTTCAGGCCTTTGTGCACCTGAGCACTGCAGGTTCCAGTGGAATGCTGAATTTGCTTTTACACATCCTGCACCCCACAGACCTCAGGGGATGAGACAGCCCCAGCTGAGGTGGGTCTGAAGGGAAGACCACAGCAGGACGTGCCCTCAGCAGCAGCATCATCATCAGCATCCTGTTTCCCTTACCCGGGGTAGGAGCAGAAAAAAAACCCCTAAAGAACTGCTGATCAGGGTGTGCACCCGCTCCATTTCCTCAGACATTTCATTCTTTGAACAGAAAATGAGCACTTTCCAGCTGGAAAATAAATCATTATCCGCTTCCTTTGGTAATTTGCAACACACTGTGTGTGTTTTTAATCGACTTCAGTGTTAGTATTTGTAGTCTCTTCCCGACACAACCACGCTCAGGATTCATTTTTGTGTTTAAAACCCATTAGAAAATGATCATATTTTTATTTTGGAGAACTAAAGTTTTACATACAACATCAGGAACTTGGAGTCACAGTACAGATGAAAAAAAATTTAAAAAAAGTTCATTTCAAATCAGAGATCTACGGGATATTTACATCTATATCAGCTTAATCCCCTTCCTTACTGTTTTCTAGATGGTTATGAGAAATTTTCTCATACGTGAAAATGTGTTTGTTCAGCAAAAAAATAAAAGTATATGAAGGTGTGAAATAATTGGGCAAAAAGTGATGGGTAAGCAGTATAGATTTGAAAGACATGAAACTCTGTATAAGGTTATTTCAAAAGGTATTAATTGTTTATCACAGAGCCAAAAATGGACTTTGATGGACAGCTACCTTCTGATCATTTAGTATTTCACGTAGAAAGCTGGAATTTAAACTTTGACAGACATAGATAATTTAATGGTTTATGCACTGGGACTTTAAAAAGACACATTCTGAAACTACCTACAGGAAGGAGTGTAGGTAGTAACTCAGCAGAATGTGGCTTAAACATTCAAAAGGTTCTCAAGCTTGGATTCAGTGAGTAAAATCTCCCTATCACAAAAGAAATGAATGCATTTTAAGAATTAAATCACTGAAGTAAAAAGGAAAGCCACAGTGCCCATTATGGGATGAACCTGCCCAGCTCAGGGGACAAATTCCCTCCAGAGAGTGAGGCCAATCCAGGACTCCTGTTACCAGGGATTTACCCCAGAATAATCCCTGCCTAAATGAAAAGCAGTTTGGCATAAATAGCAGTTCAGTTTGTTAAACCAAGGAGGGAAGCAAAGCCCTGCAAAGCCAGGTAACCAGGCTGGGGGACGAGGAGGATCCCAGGGAAGCAGCTGCCCTGGGAGGTCGCCCTGGGTGCTCCAACTGCCTTTTCCTGGATGGAGATCTGACTACAACACACGTGGCTTAGCCAGGATTTGGCCTAAATAGGTGTCCTGGCCCTGTGGGCAAGAGTTGTGGGAGCCCAGCCCAGCCCAAACCACCCCAGAGGGATCCACAGCAAAGGCAGGGGACACTTTGGAGCTGTCAGTGGAAAAACACGGGCAACCTTTTTCCCAATCCTCAGGGCAAACACCTGAAGGCATTCCCAGCTTCTTCTGGAGGATGCCTACACAGAGAGAGGGTTCCCACACAGCCTCCATGGCAAAAGCCACCTGGAACCTCACCTGCATCCCACCTTTAGGAACTCAGGGCCCACCAAGGAGTTCCAGGAGTTGGGGCCTGAATTGGAAATATGGTGCATGGTTTTCTTCTGTCCAACAGCACTGAATGCAAACCATCCACATGGAATTTTTCCTTATTTTAAAAAGGGCTTTAAGCAACTAAAATTACAACCTCGCATCACTGGCTAAGACTCTCATAAGAGTCTTAATTATTTAATTCATGCAACTCTGTGACCTCCTTTGAAGAAAACTGTTGAGAGATGAAAAGCCTCGGGCTGTGAGGGTGCTCCCAGTGGCATTGCCAGGGACAGGCACAGCTGCAGGGCAGAGCTGGACCATCCCTGCTCACACACACATGTCACAGGAGTCACAGAGCCCTGAACATCCTCCTTTCCTACAGAAAGGGCCAAGCACATTTTCAAACAACAACCTAAAGTCCCATAAAAGTAGAGCCCACACACCAGGAGGCTGCACAGCTGCAGGGAGGGTGGTGAACATGGTGGTGCTGCTGGGTTGACTGGACTTGATGATCTCAGAGGTCATTTCCAACCTTAACAATTCCAAGGGAATCTCTACTTCAGGCCACAAGACCCAGGGCTACTTCAGGGTCAGGCTCTCAGCTCAGCTCCCCAGCCCCTCACAGGGAGACATGAAACCCAAGGAACACTCAGTGATTTCCAAAAAAAGGCTATTAATCCTAATGACACTGAAAGGACACAGCACAGCCTGGTCACTAAGTTGACCACTCCTTTCTATTTGCAGTTCATCAGCTTGGCTCCTGACGTGCCCCTGAGGGCACAGGGAACAGCACTGCCCTGCTCCAGGGAATTCCCAGCTCACCTCTGGGAAATGTGGCAGCTTTGGACTTCAGTTTCCCCTTCATACATTTGGGAAAAGCGAGGTTAAGTCTCCACAGCTGCAGATTTACCAACAACAACATCAGCAGCAGAGAGCTCAACTGTTATTTTTCCTTAACTTTGCTAAAGCACAGAGAAGAAAGAAAATGCAAATACTGGAAAGGAGTTAAAAGGAGAAAAAAAAGACATAATGTTGTTTTCAATCAACACCCACCAATTCCAAAGGCTGTCAGACTTCCAGGACATGGGAAAATCTGGTTTCATGATGCCCCTTAGCAGGTGTGGGGCCTCAAACAACAACACTGAAATAACAACGCTGAGGGAAACTTAATTCAACACAAACCAAGAACATTCTTTGAAAGAAACTTCGCTCTCCAAATCCTGTATGTTTATCACAAGAACTTCTTAACCATTTGCAGAAGTAAAACAAAAATATTCCACTTACATCTTCAGTGTCCTTAACCCGTAAAATCTGTTCCCGCAGGTCCTGTAGGTCGTTAAACGTGGACTGTGCTGTTATAGAATATACTAGTGCAAACCCTTGCCCATTCTTCATGTAGAGATCCCTCATGGCTGTAAATTGCTCCTGTAATCAAATATTTTTTTTTTAAAGTAATTAGCCAGTGAATGCAGCTGATGAGCAGTTACAAAGGAATACTTCTATTATACTGGAGGAGAGAATATGGTGTCACACAACGTGGATTTACATATTTTCCCCTCTCAGAAATCCACTGAAGCATGGAAATTTAATAAAAGCATTAACACATCTCTTTCCCTTTGTGTGTTTTTTTTTTCCCCCTAATAGACAAAAGGCTTTCTTCTATACAAAGAGTAGCAATAAACATCTCTGCAGATGGACTGTTGTACATCCCAACCACAAAGTATTTAGATTTGGGTGATATATTTTGCAGTGATCTTGCATTTATTTGCTGATAAGGTGTTAAGCACCAGTCTGCCATCAAACCAATTCCCCAGACAACAGGCAGGGAGCGGAAATTCAAATTTTTTCCTCTCATACAAGGGAACAGTGCCACACACTCAGGATTTGCTGCGTGGAAGGCACTGCCTGGTCACCTCTGAACATGCACAGTTTAATTCCAAACATCTCTAGCAGGACAGTGGCTCAGAGGTTCAATCAGTGAAATGCCAGAGCAGGCTGTGTCCCAGCTCAGAGCTGCCTTTGTCCCAGTCTGTGACAGGAATGTCACCAGTGATGACGATTTCTGCCCCTGCTCTTGGTCGTTCTCAAAGCTTTCTAAATAAATCCAACTTTTAGGGAGCAGGACCTCCCCTCCTGTGATGTTCACTCGACCACCACAGGGTTTGTTTGCTCAGTGCCAGGGCTTTGCAGGGCTGCAGGTGACACTGGCCCAGCAAAGGGACTCAGCCCAGCTCTGGAGGGACAACGTGGGCCTCCCAAAGCAGCACCAGGCAGTGCCAGGGAGGTGCCACCAGGCTGATGTGACATGTGGGAGGCAATTCCTGTGCCTGGGATTGGCTTCAGTCTGTGTCTGTGGCTTCTGGCCACTCGAAAAATTAATGTTTAGAATTCAAATTGTGCCAGAGTGTTGAAAACCAGACGACAGTGGATGGCAGAGAAAAGGTGAGTGGCACAGGAGGCACCAACCTTTGTGTCCCAGCACTGGGGCACCACCACTGGAGGGGCTCATTCACCACCGTGGGTGGGGGTTATTTAACAAAATCCTTCCATTTAAATCACTGCAGCTGATTTGTTGGTTTTGCTTGGGCAGGATTATCGTTTTTAACAAAGAAACTCCACAGCCATCAGAAAAAGAAACAAGACTTACTGTCCCTGCTGTGTCGAGGATCTCAAGCATACACTGTTGACAGTCTACTTCCACTTGCTGGGGAAAAAAAAGGGAAGAGACAAACACTTAGAACTAAAATATCCGAAATGGGACGGGCAGGAGGAATCTCAGCTTCATTTTTAACCCTGCCACAAAGACCTCCCTAAGCAAACCAGGCACCTGCACTTCCCCAGGGCTGAGCAGCACTGCTTTTAGAGGATTAATTATGCCCCAAGCCAGGCATTTGGGTCAGCTCACATGCTCCAGGACTCCCTTCATTATAAAGGCTTAAATGAGCAGCTCACTGTAAACATCTCAACTTAAGTGAGATTGTAAATATCCCAACTTAATCCACTCTCCCAAATCAAGGGACGTTAAAACTTGAATTTTTCTTTGCTGCTGGGGGAGAAGGGAGGGAAGGAAGAAAAGAAAAAGCAAAATATTTCAGGCCCCTCACAGTCAGGCTTTGCAAATCTTCCACTCACTGAGAAGTTTCTCAGATCCAACAAGGGTAATTTTCCAGGAGAGTCAAGTAAATTTAACAGCAGAACTGATCCCACAATTTACACTTGATTGTCACGGGGCAAAAACGTTTTTTTATGTTTTGGTGCCTTTAATGATGGTGACATTTATGCTAATCCCTAAAACAATGGGTCACTTGACATCAGTGCAGTGAAGAAAGCAGCTCTGTGGATGGAATTAAGTAGAGAACCACAGCTCAGGGATCCTGACAAGGACTCCTGCTCAGCAATTCCAACCCTGCATCCTGAACAGCCCCAAAGAATTCCACATCCTTCAAAGCAAGCAGGACATGTTTGACTTAAGTGGCAAAACAGCCATTCCTGAAAGAGAACACAAGGTAAGTGCTGTGCTCCAGCAATCCAACCTGATATATTAGAGGGATATATCCTGTGTAACAACGTCTACAGAGCACACACAGGGCAAATATTGACACATTTCTGTCTTGAAGAAGTAACTATAAATCAAATTACAGCAAACAGGGCTGAGCAACAGCCTGACCCTGCTTTGGCTGAGCTGTTGCTGTTCCCAGGCATCAATGAGAAGCCCTGGCAGGAGGATGGGCAGTGCCACCAGCACAGCTCATGGCCCAGTACAGGTGGAAATCAGTGATGGTGCAGGAAAACACACCAACTTTCTCTCTGGGCAGGTGTAGTAACCTCTGAGGAATAAACAGCAAACAGGGGAGAAGCTGCAGCCTCAAACTGCCCCCAGTCATCAGAGACACAACATGAAAGCTCTTGTTTTATGGAGTAATGGAGATTTAATCTTCCTGTTTAACTAAGTTAGGAAACAGCCCAATTCATGGCATCATCGTGCCCTGATAATTCAGCTTTCCAGGAGCTGCCACAATTTGTCTGATGGCATTCAGAGGCCCTGAGCCAGTAAAATACTCTGGAAAGCCAAAGGAAACTACCTGCATGAAACCATTTCCAAGGCTGATGCTTTCCCATGCATCCCTTTCCTTCTGCTGTTCCAAGCACACACGACTTTTTTTCCTCAGAAAAGACCCTTCTCATCCTGACAAGCTTTTGTTGCATTATTAAAAAGAAAGCTCTGTGAGACTTGAAAGAAACAAAAATGATGGCATTTTACCTTTCTGTATGAATCTTCTATTGTTGGGTCATATTTTTCAACAAAAATTCCCTGAACAAACTGTACAGTCTGGGGAGAAAGGAGAGAAGGAAAAAAAAAATTAAGTGAACTGAACACAAGCAGAAACATTTATCAAGAAGTAACAAAAAAATCACTGTTAAAATTTAATAGTGGGGACCAGAAAAAAAAGACATATAAAATTTCAATTTTTAAAATAGAATTTGTGTATTTTCTGTTCCATTAAGATCACTTTATTCAAGCACGTTTTCAAAACGTTTTCTGCATGTGAACTGCCTGCTTGCTTTTCTCAGAGAGGTTAATACCCTCAAAAATGCCTTTACTCCAGTGCCTGGGACTTCAGAAGAACAAAAACCCACCAAATATGGAAGACCTGAAATTTCATCAGAAGAACTGGCAACCTGTCCACTGTGGAAAATCCACATTTTGGTCCAAATCATCCCAGAGCCACAGTGGGGCTGCTCTGGATCAAACCCCCAGAGCACAGACAAGTGACACCTGGAGAGCCTCCAGCCACTCAATCTCTGTTAAACCATTACAGGAGGAGACACCACTCAGTCCAAAGGGGAAATCTTTCTTGCCCATATAATTATTCAAAGCAAATCTACTCTAAACACTTCCCACCGAGTTGTCACATGGATGTGGCCCCACTCTGGACATCCCAGGGTGTTCTGGCCACAGTTTTCCTTCTCCTCTGTAGGCAAAGCTCCCTTTCCCTTTTCACCCTCACCTACAACAATCTGCAGTAGAACAGCACAGGAGTGTCTGAATATTTCACTGATATTGGTAATTGTTTGTCAAACTAAGAGCTGAGATCCCAGTGCTTCGTTTTGCCTCTGGAAAACCAACAACCACACCAAACACCTTCTGCCAACTGAACTTTCCACAGGTTTTATACCCAAATTCTGCAAATTCACTCCCTGTTTAAAGAAATCGTGTTTTGTTTGGGCAGAAGACAATGGAGAACAAAGAATCCCAGGATGGTTTGGGTTGGAAGGGACCTTAAAGGTCACCCAGTGCCNCCAGCTTGTCTAGTCTTATTTATTTGATAATCTTGTCATTGGTCAACTGCCAGTGAACACACATGCCAAAAGTATCAGAGAAGTGAGCCATGTAACACCAGCCATGTAACACACCTCATAACTCTGGCACTGCTCTTTGACCAGCAAGGGGTTGAGAATTTCTAAAAGACTCAAGAGTTTTCTGGTTTTGGAAAATTTGTCTTCAAATTAGATGCTGCATATATAGAGAATTATAGACTGGTTTGGGTTGGAAGGGACCTTAAGTTTCATCTCGTTCCAACCCCCCTGCCACAGACAGGGACAGTTTCCACCAGACCAGGTTGCTCAGAGCTCCACCCAACCTGGCCTTGGACACTTCCAGGGATGGGGCAGCCACAGCTTCTCTGGGCAACCTGTGCCAGGGCCTCCCCACCCTCACAGGGAAGAATTTCTTCCTAAAAAATCTAATCTAAATCTACCCTACTTCAGCTTAAAGCCATTCCCTCATCTCCTATCACACACCTTGTTGGAAACTGAGCAGTTCCTCACGATTTGCTTTCTTTTAACATAAGAAGAAACAACTTCTAGGACAATCTACCCCATTTAAAAATCATTCTATATCACTAAATAAACATATTTTACACTCCAATGATCAAAGTCTCAGCTTCTCTGGTATTTTCTTGTCACACTGAACAGCTGTCCCAGTTTGCCTGAGATAAGAGATCTCAGCAAAATCATCCTAGTAAGGAACCACTGAATGTGGATGACGGGGTTACATCAACAATAAAACCCCACAGCAAGAATTGTAGGTTGCAGATTGTATTTTAGGACTGTTACTGAGCATTTTAGGATATTTAGGTTAGCCCAGTTGCTGACCAGGAGGCTTTGCCAGGAGGCTCACACATGAGCACTGGAGTTGGTCACATCTGCACCACTTTATTTTGGGAGCTTTGTGAGCCCTGAGTGTGAGAATCCAATAAACCACTCACAACACTGAAGCTTTCTTTTATAACACCCACAAAACTTATTCTATATCTGCAAATACAGCACTACACTGAATGAAAATTACCTGAACCCATGTATTCTCCTCTCAAAATGTGTTATTGCTGATAAATCACTGTCCTAACTTCTGTCCTCTCAACTGGTGCTGTGTGTTCACACAGACAACAATTACAATCCTAAGTATGATTATATTCACCTTAATCCACAGCCTATTTTGCTATGTAAGATTGTTACCCTCTGGTGAACTTTATTTTTATTGGTTATAGCTGAAAAGAAAGGCCAAGGGAGAAGACACAAATCTGGGGTGGTTTTGGGTTATGTGTAGCTCCAAGACTTACACAACTTTCCCTTAGTTTGGGGTTCTGCATCCAAACTTTAGTTTCCAGTTCTGTGTAAGACTCTGAACAATTGGACACTCTTCTAATACTGTCACCCACTGCTACTCCAGAGCATTTTTAGCCTCAGAAACGGGGAGAAAACTGCTGAACAGGAAACAAAAGTTGCAAAATAGCTGTGCCTTAATAACTGTAAAAAGCTTTCTGCTATTCCACCATCGCTACCAAAAGCACAATCAGCATCATACTGGCACAGAAGAGTTAAAACAACAAGGAGGATCTGCAGTAAAACAACATCATATTGTCATCCCCACTCTCATGAAAACACAGAGCTGAAAATCAACACCAACCTCTTTGTTGGACAGTTCAGTTTATACAGTTGGAAGAACGAAATTTAAAGTGACCTCCATATTATTTTAAATCCCACCTTGTAACTACTCCTTGTAAATAAGCAAACAGTTACCTTGAAAGCTAAATATTATCCACTCTCAGCTGCTAATTGGCACTTATTGTGTGCTGTTATAAACATAATGGATCTATGTGGCATATGAATTACAAAATATGCTGATTTAGCACCCAGACTGCCAAAAAGAATTTAACTTTTGTTTACCAGACTGAGTATTTGCATTTCAGCTGTTTAAAAAGGGCAGTGATGGTGCTGACTCAGACTTCAAATGGCAAATAAGGAAATTCAGGTATGTCAGATGCTGAGTAATTCTTATGTACAGCATATTAATAAGTGGCCTCTTTTACCCAGTGAGCCTGTCAATGCTACATAACAAAAGTGAGATAATCAAGGAGGTGCTGGTGCAAAAAGTAACACAGATTGCTTAAGTTGCTGTGGAAGAACAGAGCTTATAAAAAAATTATGCCTCCACCTTGTGAAGATTAGGATGGGATCTCTGAGAGAGCACCTCAAATCTGATACACAACTGAATAATCTTTCCTCCTGCTCATCTGGATTCTGCAGGTGATTTACCAGGATTATTACCTGGTTGTATCAGCAGAATAAACAAGGGTGCAGGACATGAAAGGCTGCTCAGCCATTATCACCCCCTGTGACAAGGAACACAGGGCAGTTCCTTGTTGGAGATAACTTTACACTTGACCAGTTCTTTGCCTTTCTTGTTGCAGGGAGCTGTTGGACTGATTAGTGATAAATGGGTGACAGGAATCCCTCTTACAATGCTTGACTATCAACTCTGCTATGTAAACCTCTTCTTAGAAACAAACACAAGCACTTAAGGAGTGCAAAGTGTCATCACTCTGCTTCTCCCTCTGCACTGCACACAGGCTGGAGGGGAATTCTCATTTTTCAGCCCAGGCTGCTCATTCAGGATGGACAACACGCAGCATTCAAGGTGTGCAGGGCTGAAACCACCCCTAATTCCATTATTCTACTTCACTGCACAGCCAGACTTCACTTGCTGTTCCAGTGTAGGTTGGGTTTTTAATACTTGGCCACAGACATTCAGTGTTTTACAACACAACACCCAGGCAGGAAGCAGACATGAAATGCTACTGCAACAGTGATTAATCACCTCTCCAAAATCATGACACACCTCCTCAGCTCTCTCAGCAGTGCAACAGTGAAGCCATGGCACGTACTAAAAGTCACACAGATCTCCTGATGCATTAATAACATGGTCTGCAATGAGACAGTTGGAAGTTGGTGTGTCAGTTTGAGAACCACTCCCCAAAACTCACCAAAGCGGACTTGCCCACACCTCCTGAACCAAGGACCACCAGCTTGTACTCACGCATGGTGTGGCCTGTTCAGACAGCAACAGTCTGCAAAGCAGGAAAAAAAAGCAGTTAAAAACACAGGTGGATTCAGGGCACTGTCTCCTGAAAGCAGCAACACGCTCCCTTCAGCAAGCAGTCCTGAGAACGAGGATGTCTTTGTGAATACTTAGTTATGTTTTTTATTTTTCCACCTGGACACTCAGGTGGCACCTCTGACAGCCCCAGTTTACATGAGATGCCCAAAGCTCAGCCTGATGGTGCTCAGAGAGGAAGAGGAAGGACACACATGGTACAAACAGGGCACAGCCACACGTGCCCACTCCAGCTCCCCCTGCCCGTCCTCTGCTGCCTCAGCATCTCACAGCACAAACCACCGAGTGCTGGACAAGGAAATTAGATCAGAAAGATGCAACCAAGAGGTTTCTTCTCCCCTCCACTCCCAGCAGGGAAGGATTTAGGTCAGTGTTTTCTCTCTGGAAAAGGTCAGCCCCGACACAGGGCTGCCAAGGCAGAACCTCTCTGCTCGCCCAAGCACCGACTCTGCCTTTTTATGGAAATCTTGCGACTCCCTCGACTCCCCCCGTGCAGCACCAGAAAACTCCTCACTCTCCTCCAGAGTCCCTGACAAATAAGGCAAATGACAAAGCTGGTGATAAACATTTTACACTATGTTTACATTAGAAGGCAGGCTGGGCTGTCCCGAGCCACGGAGCTCAAGCAAACAATGACCTCAGCAGCGAATTCCCCCTTCCCAGCGAGACAGAGCTTCCTTCCCAAGTAAGGCTTCAGAGCCTCCAGTGCAAGGAGCCTGGGCAAGCTCCACTCCTCAAAGGCATTTCAAACTAACGTTACCACAGGATTTATGGGTTCACTGGCTACAGCCTTCAAAAATAAAAGCATATTCCAAGGAGTTTGATAGAGAAATGTATCACCTTGTCGACTGCCGTTAGCGGGTCTGCGGAGAGCAGGGATTGTATTTTTAGCTTTGCAGTGTGGAGAACTCCCTGACAATCTGTGTTTCAGGATTTTATATAATCATTAAATGGGGGCAGGTTCTATCATTTCAATTCCCAAGGGAAGTTGGAAAACAGAGGATGAAGAGGAAACCCACGTGCTGCTGCTCACCCATCTCCAGTCCCTGCCAGAGCTGCATCAGGACCAGCTGCTGAACACTGAGACCTTCCCTAAACATCCTAATTTATCCCTCACCCCTCAACCACAGCCTGTTTTATGGTCTAAATGTGACACAAGTACAGGTTTAAACAAAAACAAAAAAAATCCCACATGCAGCTGGAGAGAGATGCAAATTCTGTGTCCAGTTCAGCTCGACTTCAAGCTCATTTTTAAGTCAGAATAACAGAAATAAAGGATTTGCCCGTGCTGAGTCACGTAGCAAAGCTGCCCTTCACTCACCCAAGCCTTAGAGAGGGAATAAAGCTGAAGTTATCAGTGCAGCCCATCATTTTAAGCACCTTGAGGAGGTCTTTCCTCAGCTCTTGAAGCCCATGTGAGCTGCAGTTGCTTAACTTCATGAAAATTGTGAAACCAAGTCAAACTGAAAGGGGTTTTCCAGAAACTGTCTAAAAGCAGAGCCAGTGAGGTCTAGGCACTCTAGGACATTTACAGTGGTTTTGGCTAAAATTCTGGAACTGTGAGCTCTTCTGCTTGAACATTTCCCTGAGAAGTAACACTTCCTTTCTTCCAAAAATCACGATTTCGGATGGGGAGGAGAGGGAAAGTCCAATTAACAATTATTTTCCCCTTGATCATCCCTAGAAATTAAAAGGCAAGGCATTTTTTATGAAGCACAAATGCAACTTATTGATCCAGTTTATCTTCCTCCTCCTCCAGCTCCACAGTCACTTCCACCAAGGAAAACTTGGGAAGCGACCAAGCTAAGGGTTAAATTTAGCTGTGAACTCTTTCACTTCTTATTTATAGTAAAAAACACTTGTGGGAAAGTTTCAGCTGGGAGCAGTACAAGACTAACTTCTCATTTCTTGTCTACAGTATTTGCTGACTTTTTTTTTTTTTTCAGGTGCAACAGGAAACCAAGATCCTGAACCACACGAGCCTCATTACTGCAAACCCCACACATCTTAATTATCTTGTAGCTCTTTCACGAGTCTGTTAATGTTATCTGTTTATACAACACTGAATAGAGTGCTCAAGAAATTACTATGCTGCATCCCAGCCAACTTTTCATTTGGCAACTGCTGAAGCCCACCTAAACAGTCACACACAGCAGCATTCATCTCCCTCCAGAGCTCCCTGGAGTGGAGTCACATGCCGTGAAGCAAGGGCTCCATTTCAAAATGGAATTAAATTATGGGTGCTAAGTGTTTCTTTGGAGTCAAAAAAAAAGAGGATGATCGCTAAGGAGCGTGGAAAAAATAACTGTAAATGTTGTGAAAGTGCCCTCATTAGTTCTGAACACTGAGGTGCAGAAATAAAGCAAAAGCTGAGTGTGTCTCCTTCTCCTGCTCCCTTCTCCCAGGCACACAGAGCCCAACCAAGCTCCAGCAGGACAACCACGGGGCACAGAGCTCGTGTCACACAACCCACCACTGCCCTGAGCAGCAGCAACTCCCTCCTGCCTTCCCTGCCAGACCCTCCAAACCACCCAGCACCTGCAGGGTAATAAATCAGTAGGGTTCTGTCATCTATAAGCATCAAAAACCTTTGCTTCTACACTGTGAAACAGTTGATACATCAGAATTAATCTCTTTTCTTTGTTCTTTAACAGGAGCATCTCTTCTCTGCTGCTAACTGTCACCAACCCTGCCAGGGAAGCAACAGAAATGGATGTTTATCTATTCACAGCATCAGCCCCAAGATGCCCAGCTCCTTCCTGAGGCAAAAGTGAAGGGCTCTATTCTGGTAACAGATGCTGAATAAAGAAAAGATGCAATATATTTGTTTTAATGTGCAAAACTGAAAGGCAGGGGGTCTCTGAGAAGGACCAGAGGATGGAAGCAAACACAAGTGGGGTTGTAACCTGAAATGGGGCTCTGAGCACCCACTCACCTGCATCTTTATTCAGCCAAAGCCTTGTGCACTCTCCTAAATGCACAAATCATCCTTCACCCTCCTGCAGCCCTGGGGCCAAACCGGGGTAGGAAGAAGCAAAACTTGGAGGGTATTTCCCAAGCAGCGGAAGGAGCTGGGGGAGGGTGGGGGGGGAGGAGGGCTGAGGCCCTTCAGGACAGAAACCTGATGCAAAAATTAGCTGCTCCTCTTACAAAAGTTTCAGCAGCTCATCCAGAAGTTTACAATTCGGGTGGTGAGGAGAGAGAAGCATAAACAAAGATAAGTGAACACAGCACTGAAAAAGAGAGTGGGTGCAACAACTTTACTTATCCATTATCAACTCCTGTGTTCAGAGAAATTGCATTTGAAATATTCTGAGAACACTAAAAAACTCCTACCTTGGCATAAAAGATCTCTCATCAGTGTTAGCAGCTCTACTGAAGGTCCTCCAGGCTCCCCACAAGGGACTGAAAAAAACCAGAAAATATCAAAATAATTAATCATCTTTCAAAGACAGCATTTGCAACTCATCACTGAAGGGCTTAAGTCAAACCACCATGTTCCTGGGGACTTTTCCTTCCCAATATACTCTCTGGAAGATTTCACTTAAAAAAGACAAACTGAGGTCAAACTAACCCTGTTTGAGATTCTATCAAGTATGCATTTTACAGAAAGTACTATCAAAGGAAAAAGATGTTTAGAGCAGCCCAACAACCTGAGTGATGTTAAAGGGGAAAAACCATCACTCCTGATCAACACTGCCCTGGTAAAATTCAATACAACACCTGAAAAGTAGAATTATTTTAGGGATGCACTGAGTTTCTTTCCTGTGGGGCACACACAAAGCCTGTGTGTCTGCCCTGCAGCCGGGGAGCTGCAGCACACGCCAGTGCCAGGCACAGGAAGCAGAAGCAGCAGGTTCTGATGGTATCAGAGTCCCTCTGAACCAGCCCAACATCCTGTCCCACATCCCCCAGCCCTGCTGTGCCCTCGAGTCCTCCCCCAGCCACCTGGCAGCAGCAGGATGGAGGGGACAGGCTGGGCAGAGCAGGTGGCACACGGGGACACGACTCAAAGAGCAGCTACAAGCTGTGGGAAGAGCTGAGGGCAGAGGGGAGGGCACAGAGGGGAACCCAGGCTGGGGGTGCCTCGACAGCCAGAGCATCTTGGCAGGATTTAAACTGCCAGAGGGCAGGGTGAGAGTAGAGATTGCAAAGAAATTCTTTACTATAAAGGGTGGGGAG